GGGGAGGAGTGTGGGAGGGCGGGAAAAGGGGACTGAGGGTATTATGTTTAGTACACATGGTGTGGGTGATCACGGGGAAAACAGTGTATCACAGAGAAGGGACATAGTGGATCTCTGGCAACTTGCTGCACTGATGGACAGTGACTGCATTAGGGTATGGGTTGGGACTTGATAATATGGGTAAATGTAGTAACAACATTGTTTTTTCAGGTGAAACCTTCATAAGAGTGTATATCAATCATACCTTAAAAAAAAAAACTGAGGCCCACACTAAGGGACTAAAACCTGAGTATCAGGGAAATGCCTCAGCTGACTTCATGCAAAGGCGGCAGGAACAGTATCTATGGACTGCGGCACAGGCAGAGTAAGCCTCATTACACAGGATGCTCTATGGAAAGGACTGTCAACTATGGAAGAGCTCTCTGATGGAGAGAACATGAACATCTGGAAGAATTACACCACTGAAGATGCCTTCGTTATAGAAAAAGCTGTGAAATCCACCAAGCCTAAAACAACAAATCCCTGCTGAAGAAAACTGTGTCCAGAGGATGGGCAGGACCTCATAGGATTTATGACAGAGCCAATCAAGGGAATCATGAAAGACTGGCAAAAACGGTGGGAGGTGGAGGGTTTCAAGATATGGATCTTAGAGAAAGTCAAGAGCTAACAGACACCTTCTGCACAAGAGGAATTAGCAGAAGATGACCTGATGGAGATGACTGCTTCCAAACCAGGGCCAGAAGATGGAAATGCAGAAGTGGTGCCAGAAAACAAACTGACACTAGATAATCTGGCAGAAGAGTTCCAATTATTCAAGGCTGCTTTTGACTTCTTTTATAACATAGACCTTAATATGATATGGGCACTGAAATTAAAGCAGATGGTTGAAGAATTGGTGCTGTATAGAAACATTGTTAGAAAAATGAAAAAGCCAAAAAGTCAGACAGAAATCAAGATGTATTTTTGTAGTTACACCAAGTGTCCCCAGCCCTCCTGCCGCCTCCTCTACCTGCTCCACCTCTTCTGCCTCTGCTACAGCTAAGACGCAAGTCTATCCCCTCCTCTTCCTCCTCCTCCTCAGCCCATGCAACATGAAAATGAGAGGATGAAGACTTTTATGATGATCCACTCCCACCTAATGGGCAGTAAATAATCATCACATCATACAGTTAATATAATTTATCTGCATGCAGGTATGTGAGCATCTTCATGTGAAGAATCTGCTAACTGTACATAAGAATTGTATGAGACATTTCTGTGTCATCCCTAAGTATTCATCAAGTAAAACGCATGTATAAGACTTCATGGAAGTGGATAGCCTAACCTTATAGAGGCATAAGATGAGTGGTATTTAGCACAAAATTAGTGACGTGTTAGTTTTCTTAGTGTTTTATAACTTTCTTTCAGAGAATTACTTTACCATACAGTATGCTTCTCATAACTAAAGAATCTATGTATTAGCTACCTATCATCACAGGTAAGTGGTTTCTTAAAAATGTAACAATGTTCCCAATTCTGCATTATGAATATGACTCTAATACTATACACCTTAAAAATTTTATAATGATTCATTCATTATTGTATAGCTGGGCTATAGTGAAGCAGTTTTATTAATTACACTAGGCTTCCATTAAGTAATCAGTCTGCTGCTTCTTCATTATCAATACATAAATTATTATACCTGTAAATACATATGAATTTCTTTTTAACATTACCTTTTCATTTTTGATGTCTACGGTTAATAATACATGTAATATGTACAGTGTTTTGTTTCATGTGAGACAATACTGATGCAGGTACTGACAGATGATTCATCTTGTAAGCAATGTAAACGTACAGTATCAATACAATATGGTACCATAAATGTCTATTCTCCTTCTTTCAGTTTTCTTAACATTTTCTTTCCTCTAGCTTACTTTTAAGAATGTAGTATAAAAAAAAAAAGAATGTAGTATATATAGCATACAAAATATGTATTAATTAACTGTTTATGTTACTGGTAAGGGTCATCCACAGTAGGCTATTAGTAGTTAAATTTGGGGGGAAACAAAAGTAGTATGCACATTTTCAACTGCACTGGGGGTATGTGGTGTGGTGGGTGTCAGTGCTGCTAACCCCCACATTGTTCAAGGGCCAACTGTAGTCAAAAATATTCTGAAAAATTAGAATGAAAAATCAGAATACCTAGCCCTACTAGGTATTAAAACATAAAGCTTTAATAACTAAAACACTGTGGCTACTGATACATGAACAAAGCAATGAAGCTGACTAAAATGCATACAGAAATTTAGAACACAGTAATGATGAAATTTCAAGTAAGTCTTGATAAACTGCCTTACTCACTAAATGATGTTAAGATGAGACAAGGGGGTGGCCATCTGGAAAAAGCTGATACTATACCTCACATGTAACCCCAGAACAAATTACAGATGGATCATAGATAGTAACTGTAAAAATCATTCTCTGAAAGACCATTTGTTTACATAGGAAAATATTCATTTTATATTAGTAAATGAAAAAAGTTGCCTAAAAAGCAGGACTTAAAAGATATATATGCATGTAAGTATATTAATTATCTCTCCACGGTAGGATCATAAACACTATGTATCCTATTATAAATTTTACAAATATATATATATATATATAACAAAATTTTATATTGACCATTTAATATTTTTGTAATCGGGAATAAATACACTAAAACAGGGGTTGGGGAAGGAACCAAATGAACAACAAACACAAGTCTGGGCTTTACAATCTGATAGACCAGGATTTAATTTAGTGAACTAAAATGATACTTGCCTTTTTCTATCTTTATATACTCCTGTTCAGCCTGTGAAGCATAGATGGAAGACAACACTGAAAAAACAGAAGCTAGCACTGTTTTCTGTTCTTGAATTACAATGGGTGGATCATCAGACTGGCAGAATTCATGGCAGGCCAAGTCAAAAAGTAAATTCCAAGTGTCTTTTCCAGTATTAGGACACTGTACTTAATAAAGATAATAAACAAAGTGGCACTTTAAGAACAGAAAACAATTAAGAGTAATTATAGTACTTCCCCATAAAACATCTTACCAATTGCCTGAATTCCATCATCCACAGTGGTAAGCAGCTGTAAGATATGCATGTAAACATCGAGCCCTTCTGGATTTTCAGAGCTAAATACAAAAAGCAAAAGCACGGTGTCAACAACTTTACTGTCTATGGGACTGCAATCTACCCATTCATTCAATAAGCATTTATAATCCTGTACTAGTCACTGCCCTACGTGCTCAGGATAAAACAGAACAGGACAAAGTCTCAGCGCTCACCAGTGCTTACATCCTAATGGAGGAATAAGTCAAAATACAAATAGTATGTAATACAATCAATACACATAGGACAAGAAGTTAATATTCTTTTTGGTTCTGTTTCACGAAAGCAACAATACAGAAACCTGCTAGGTGATACTTCATCATTCTTGATTACTTGAATAATAACGACAAAAAGCAACTGAAACTTTTATAGAACAAATGAAAGGTCCACTGTACCAAGCATCATCGATTATGATGTTCTTAAAATATCACAGGATTATCCCAGCTCCCTAGCCTACATTACTAAAACCACATGAGTATAATGTTTGTGATTAGTTAGGATTCCTAGAAACTCACAATCTTGGTTCTTTAACCAAACAATTAAGTGAAAAGAGAGCAAACAATTAAAAAGATGGTTCAGCAAATATTTAAGTATAAGTATCAACTGTTTTCAGGCACAACTATGTTAGGGACTGGGAAAACAATGTATAAGACATTGCTCCTACCTCCATGTCTAAAGGAAACAAGATAATTAAAGGGGTAATTACAACAAAGTGATATTAATGTAACACTAGAGGAAGTCCAAGAGGTTAGAAGACCACACACATCAAGTAGACTTCATTTAGTTTGGAAATTCATAAAGATAACTTGAGAGAAATGATGTTTATGCAAAAACATGGAAGGGCAAGGAAATGTTTGAGATGGAGGAGACATAATATGCAAAGGCTTAGGAGCAAGAGAGCTTGGTTTAGCTGAAGAAATGAAAGAAATTTCATACAGCTGAAACACAGAATACAAGGAATAAAGATGGACAGGAGCTGCAAAGGGCCTTCCTTATAAGCCATGTTTTTAAAAACTCTGTGGACCTCATCCTTAGGCAGGTGATTGAAGAGTTTGAAGCATGGTAGTGAGATGATGACTGTGTGCTTTGGAAAGATGGCTGTACAGTCTAGGCTTAGAGGTAGAGAACTCAGGTCAGAAAATGCTACAGTTGGCTAGCTGAGAGACAGTGGTCTGATGATGGCACAGATGATTCTGCAAAAAAAAGTCAGGAACAAGTATTGGTGGTTGACTTGCCATGTGAAGAGTAGGATGGGAAAAGTCAGTAATGGCTTCCACATCTCTTCCACATTATCCAAATGGGATAATGATTGCATCATTTACTTAGACTGAGAATACTAAACAAGCAGGTTTGGGGGAAAGATGGTAAATTTAATCCTCACTTGGATAGAGGACAGAAAATTAATAGGCTTTAAAGTGGGTGGTTAAGCACTAAGAATGTACAACTGACATTAAACAGACCAGTTCATAAATTAATTTTCTATGACTAGCAATAAACAGCTTCAGTGACCACCAGACCTAGTGATCACTCTTGGCAAGATACCAGAGCCCAAGAGCCAGTCACATATTCAAGACTGGCATATATATACAAGAAGCAAGAAAACAAATGATGTCTGAAGATGTCATTAAAAGTTTCAATGTAAAAAAAAAAAGCACAAGAAAATAATTCCTATTTGATTTAAATTACACAAAATTGAGGGAGATTTTAAGACAGTAACCATAATTAATACTGAACAACAGCCTATAACTAAGTAATAGTTAGACAGGTACTTTGTAACAATTATGATTTTTGCACAGACCAAATATACTGTCAACACAGTATTAGTAATGAACCAAACCTGACAGACACTGACTGTGTGCTATTCATCCTGTTGAAAGGAAACTAAAACTGACTCTGTCTAAGGATATTTCTAGAGATTGGATTTTCCCAGAACATTTTGCACAAAAGAGCTTACCTACCGTACTTGTTTGGCAGCTTCAAGTACACAGGGCACAATTTTAAACACTGGCTGCTCTTTAGAATCTTCCTGGGATTGGTCCAGAGGCTGAACAGCCCCATTTTTTATCCATTCCAACATCAGCTTCTCATCCAAATCAAAAAGCTTGTCCACAACTTCCCCCACTTTCACCAGCAGATCAACTGTACAGTATAAAACAGACACAGAAATGAGAACAAAAGTTTAAAAGCAAAGGGTTAATAAAAATTCCTATAGCTATCCTAAGAAAGCCAAATCTTGCCAAAGCACTCCTTATTCTGAGGGCAACTTATTTGCTTCCTTTGTTTAAATTTGCTTGTCTTCTTTCATTTTTAAATGGGGGATTTATCACTATCCTGGGAGCTTAAGAAGAAATATATTTTGAACTAAAATACTTTATCACCTTACACTTACCCTTTTTTTTTTAAAAGTGACCTCTAGAAATAGTCACATGATTTCCTAACAATTAAATATAAACAGAATTTTTTTTCTTAGATTACTTGGTGACTTACCATTTGTTGAACTTGACATAATGAAGCAAATGGTGTCATAAACAGCTGGATATTCCTGGATTCTTTCAACCCAGACACTGGCCACTTCTGACTGGGAAAGGCAAGTGAGCAACAACCTACGTGATAAATGTGAGCTAAATATCTTGTATTCCAAAAGCAGTAAAGGAAACTCAAGAATGAAGAATTAATTCTATTGTCCTAAATTCCCTTGGGAGTGAATACACAGAATCCATAAAGAGAGGAAGGCATACCTGCTTGTTTCCAGCAGAGTGGGAGGGTCTGAATCATACAAACAGTGCAACAATACCTGCCTATAAAAACAGAAAAATTAACCCAATGTGCCTCACCTCTCTCATTTCAAATATCAGAGTTTTCATTTAATTTCTTTAACATTCTTATTGTGAAATATAGCATATATACAGAAAAGCCTATAAGATACAAGTCTATATTTAATGAATAATTATAAAGCAAACACATATTTCCAAGGAATAGAGCAGTGCACACCTCTGTAGCCATGTGTCCCTCCCAAATCACAATTCTCCTTCCCACCTAGAAATGACTATCCTGACTTTTCCAGCAATCATTTTTATGCTTTACTCAATAATTTTATTATTCTACATATTTTTTTAACTTTATAAGAAAGAAATTGTAGGTATTCTTATGAGTCTTAGCTTCTTTGCTCAACACCATGTCTTTAAGATCTACTCATGCTGTTCCTGTAGCTATTTTTATTGACTTATAGCTGTAGAACATTTCATTGTATGAATATAACAGTTTATTTTCTTGTCCACTATTGATTGACATTTGGGTTGATTCTATTTCAACGAATGTTCCTATATATTTTGTCTTAGTATCCTGATGTACACATGCATGGTTTCTCTTACCATAGACCTATGAGTGACATTGCCTGGTCACAGTACATGCATATTTTCCAACTTGACTACATATTGCCCAACTCTTCTAAAGTGGTTGAACAAATTTATAACCCATCAGCAATATAAACTGTTCCATATTAATTTAAAGATAGGTAATTTATAAAACTTAATTAGCATTACTCATTCTCCAATTTTTGGTAGGGATCACTGGAGATTAAACATAATCCTGAATCATTTATTCCATGCATGATCATCAATTACTAAATAATAAATACCTTAAACTCTGATCTTTAAGTCCCACACATCTTGAAGAGGTAATCACCTCTACTTTGGGACCCAGGACTTGAATCCTGTGATAAAACCCTGACAGCACTAGCTGACAATAACCACCCAGAACATTTTTCTTAACCTGTTATAAAATTTACAAATTTCTTTGAGATTCTGATTAACAGCCATGAACTTTCTGCCAAAAAATGAATACACTCACAAAATTTAGTATATAATTCCATAATGTTCTCAGACCTCTTAAAGTAACCACCAGGGTTCCCACCATCACAAAACCCTCTGCCTAAAACCCCACTGCATGTAGAAGAGAACTAACCTCCAATAAGAAGTATGAAAGCCTTTGAATCACAGAGGCAATCCTGTATCTCCTAGTCTGTTGGCAAGTCTCACTCCCAATCCAAGTCAAAGTTCTCAGGGTGACCCTGAGAAGAGTCGAATTTTTCCAGACTCTAGCTCTCTGAGCCCTTCAATTCCCTGAGCCTATACTGTTTTGAACTCCTGTCAAGTACCCCTACCTCCAAACTTTCCCCACTGGTTATTATCCTATCTGGCTTACCACCTGCTGACAAATTAGGTCCCTTTGCAACCAATAAAGAAAACAGGCCTAAATCCTGAATCATGTCCATAAAGAGTGTCATGGCCCTCACTACCATCAATACACAATTAAGTCTCTGGAGAGTATTCATTAGGAAAAAGGAGGTTCTACATTTCATAATATTTCATCTCTTCTATGCATTAGGATTTCCTTAGGGATAAGAAACATTAATCTATTTTTTAAAAACACAATTATTATGTAGTAAAACTTACCCAAGATTTTTATCATTGCTGATGGACACACATATTTCCTGGAAACAGGCCATGTTACCTAAAATTCCCACACAGATTTCCTGCCAAATCAAATTTCACAGGTCATAATGGCTCTGAGATGAAAGATATATACAAAAATAATAACTTGGAAAAAACTTTCACTACACCAAGTTTTTGGGGAGAAGAAATGGAGAGGCAGCATATAGAAGTATGCTGCCTGTACCCAATCTTGACAAGTTTACAGTATCTGAGAAGGGATGAAAGACCAAGTTATGTAGGAGTTATGCAAGAAGAAATATTATGGATGAACCGAGTCTTAAATGGTTGGTAGGATTTAAATAGCAAACAAGAAGAAATACATTCAAACAAGGGGGAAAGTATTAGCAAAGGCAGGAAGAGAACAATGTACATGGCAATGCAGTAGAAAATAAAGACAGCAGCCTGCCTGTTGTACAAAGTGGGAGAATAACATGATATAAATACAGCAAGTAAAAAGGATCAGGATTAAGGACTCTGAATGCCAATTAAAGAATTAAGATTTAACCCAGGAGATTAT